ATTTCATGCATTCTATTTGTCACCCGAGTGATCGTGTCACATAATTCGCCATATCCTTCATCGCATAATGAGGCATAGTAACACATCTTGTTACAAAGGGAAATCAAAGAACCATAACGTGCATTTTGAGTGACATCTTTACGAATTTCTGGTTCTTTTTTGTTGAGCTCGTTTTCCTTAGCATTCCGAGCCCACCTCTTCATTACACAAGTTGAAGGAATCTCTTTTATATGTTCGGCCTTCATCACTGCAAACATATGAGCACAAGGCCACCCAACCGTCTCGAATTGCAAGCAAGAGCACTCAGATAACCGGGAATCTTTATCAAATTTTACGGTAAGTGTAAGATCAGGCTTTGAATACTCATATACAGAGTACATCTTGGTTGAACCAAATTCATGCTCAATTTTGCTCAATAATACAGCTTCCTTTTTTATTTCTTCACGAACAATAAAGAACATATTTCTGGTCAAAGAATCTGCCGCATGTTTCTCTACATCTTTCAAATGAGTACTAAGTACAGGAGAGCTATTTATTGTTACAGCATTTGCCTTCGCTTCCATATATCTTAGCCTTGCCAAAGCCAAATCAAATGATCTTACAAATCCATATAACCTCATTTTAAGATTCACATGCTTCTTAAAATATGCATTCATACCTTCACACCGCTGAGTGCATTTCATATTTCCGAAAAAATGTCCCCTTAAGTATGCTTCTGCCCACTTTGCACGTTTTGAATACGTCTCGTTTACCCATGAGTTATTTTCAACTTGTTGCTTTTGGATACAATCTTTCCAGCTCCTTTCAAATTGTTCTTTGCTGCAAATTTTATCCATACATTTGTAGAAGGCTTGACAAAAGCACGTGCAATGTACATTTACAGCCGCATTCCGTTGAAGGTGCCAGCTACACAATCTATGCCTCGCTTCTGGAAGAATATTCTCTATGGCTAGTCTCATACCATTATCCCCATCAGTGATAACTGAAATAGGTTTTTTACCTCCCATTGCAGCTACAAAGGTCTCTAAGACCCAAACATATGTCTCTTCAGTTTCATCTGACAAGAGTGCAACCCCAAAAATTGTAGTCATGTAATGGTTATTTACACCTGCTAATATGACCAGAGGTTTTCGATAAGCATTAGTCCTGTAGGTCATATCAAACACCAACACATCTCCAAAATATTGGTAATCTGACTGGCACCTAGATTCAGCCCATAACAAACGACGTAATCTATTGCTTTCGTCGACATCAAACTTGAAGAAAAATGATGGATCTGCATCTTTTTATGCACTGAAATAGGCCAAAGCACATTCCGCATCCCCGTCTCGTATCTGCTTTTCGTTTGGCATAAGTACAGTCATACAAATCTTTCAAGGTAAAGCCAATTTTGTGGAATCCACCCGATCGATGTGCAAAAAAATTCATTATCTCACTCGTACACCAACCGACTTCATGCATGGAAATCGCTTCTACAAGGTCAGACTCCTTCACCGATCGATGGGAGAACAAAAACGATACGCCCTCCTCAGTCATGAGTTCATGGTTGTGTTTCTTTACAAATTCAGTGACAACAAACTTCTTCAGCCTCTTGTTGTACTTGACACGAAATGATGCTGGGCAACCAACTCTAGTCATGGGCCTGGGTTCTCTTGTTTTATCTTCCTTTTCTAACCACTTTTTATCACGGAACCCTTCCTTAGAACAAAGCCATTTACGCATATCAATCATACCCGAGCTTTTGTTGCGCCGTACATCTTCCTTTCTGATTGAAAATCCTTTACATTTTGCATAGAAGTTATAAAATTCCCCAGCTTCCTCCTCAGATTCAAACATTTTTTCTTTTATATGATCTCCCTCTACGTCAATATCATCAATCCATTCTGACTTATACCGAAATTGTTGTTTTTCTTTCGGTGGTATTCCGGAAGTATCAACATTGTCCATCTTCCTTTTCTCAACATTACAAAAGAAGGGCCATTAAACATAAAACTACAAAATTTAATTTAAGCAAATACAATTTCTAAGACGAATTAAATTTATCTTAAACTGATAAAAATTGATGGAAAATAAACAAACAATAAAAGCCCGTATATATTTTATAGATTACACCAGAAATCATTTTTTACTTCACGTTGAAGTATTCATTTTGATTATGAAAAAGACATTGTTCTCATACGATCCAGCATGATATGTACTCGATATAATAAATTTTGTATTATGTTTTTTTTTTTCACAAAGTGCTTTTAATTGAATAAAAAAACGAATACATAAACAATTTTTAGAGGAAGGACCAAAAGATTAGATACATAAATTTAGAAGGGTGAAATTTCAGAATAAAGGGCCAAAAGATGAAAACTTTGGCATAACCTAGAAGTCGCTTTCATCTTACCAGGTATAAACGAAAGTAATGAAAATATTCATTTTCTTTGGGTATAATTTTAGGTTATTTCTTTTTTTGAATTTTGTAATATAGTTCCCCTTGCAAGCTACAAGTCATAAGAATCTTTTGATTCAACTATTTCAAATCCCATAAAAAGAAACTTACAATTCAAAGGCTGAAATTTGAAAAAAGAAAAAAAAACAGAGAATAAAGAAAAATCAAAGATAGTCCCAAGAACACAGCTGATTACTCATCTCTTTAAACCTATTCCCATGCCTCTTTGTAGAAGATGAAGAAGTGTACCTTTCTCCAATGGATTAACGTACACTGAACAGTTGCTGATTAATGACTCGACAATTTTATCCGATGGAAAACTTCTTTGAAGAACGAAGAAGATGAGCGAGGGGGAAATTTTTTTGAACAAGCGGTTTGACGTGTGAGTGATGCGGCAGTTGCTTTCTTTCATGCTTCAATTTTTCACTCCACGTTTGTGAAGAGTTACATTTTTTTTTTTTGTTTTTTTTGTTTTGTTTCCTATTGGTACCAAATAGGCAAATACTTTTTTTTTTTAAAATGTGGAATTTATTGTGTGGAGTTTATATGTTATTTAATTCCAAATTTATAAATTTATTAAATAATTTAAATTTCATCATACTAATAATTTGATCCATGAATTCACCTCAATTTTATACTTATAGAGCTAATAATGATTGTTGATTATTGACTATCTAATTTCGTACAAGATAGGTATTATTTTATTTTAAATTTTAAATAATAAGTTAATGTGCATTTAAATTTCAATATTATATAATAGATAAAAAAATATGTGTATAGTATTTATATTCATTTTTTGGCGAACAATTTTTGGTCGAGAATCAAACACTATAAAAACTATGGAAAATTCTACAGTCTCGTTACGGAATCGTTGGATTTTTAACAGTTATATGCACATGTAGGGATTTTTAACCGTTAGATGCACATGTAGATTAGTGTAGCATGTGCATCTAACGGTTAAAAATTCCAACGGAATGGTTTCGTAATGAGACTGCAGCCTTACTCAAAAACTAGCTAATGTACAAATTTTGAGTTAAATAATATGTTGTAAACTAATTTTGAGTTAATAGTTCCTGATCGAAAAACTAGCTAATGTACAATTTTATTTTATAAAACTTCAAATTGTCAATAGATTTACTTGAAATGCTAAGTAATAAGGCTGAACATGAGACTCGTAGAATTTCAAATCTTTCTTTAAACTAAATCGAATTCACTCTGAACTGAAAAATAATCGTTTATCGTTTGATAGTTTTCGAAAAATAATTGTTCACCGTTTGTCTTTATTCGAACCGATTGAAAAAAAATAATTGGTACGATTCTGTAGATTTCACAAATACTTGTACCTAGACCGAACATAACCATCTCATACTGTACCGAATTTAAGTAAATTTTTTACAGCATGTTTACTACTATAATATTCAAAAAAATAAAATAAAAATTATGGGAAGCTTTGTCCTGTTTGGTTCTTTGCACATTATGTTTTTCTATGAGTCGAAGGATTAGGACATGCCATGTCAAGCGGTTACCGGCCGATTAGTGACTCGGCAAACAAAGAGGTAGGTGTGCGAAGTTTGTTTTATACATTATTCATCTCATCTAAGTGATTTTTTGTTGTTAAATTTATTTTTCATAGAAGATTATATGTTTTAATTGCAATAATTATTCATCAAATAGCTAAATCTGTTTAATGAATAATTAATTGTAGATATAAATTATTTATCACTGAAAAATAAATAACTTGTACTTTTTTGGTAAATAAGATTAGTAAAAGAAATAAAACATATTATTGTTGAAAGTTTACCATAATTATATTTGTTCAACTCACTCTAACATACTGAATAATAAATATATGCAGTTATTTTTTGAAAAATCTTTTTACAAATAAATTGTACTAAAAAAACACCTAATTATTTATATTATATCATAAATAAAAAATACTTTAACTTTTTTTATGTTGATTCATTAATTCATTATTTGTTTTAAATTATTTGGTATTATCATTGTTTAATTATTAGAATACATAGTAGCATGAAAAATGTAAGTGTTTGATTAATAATGTTATCAAAGGAAAGATAGAGTCAATATAAGTGCGTGATTAATAATGTTATCAACGATTTAATGTAGGCAATTTATTTTTTTTTACAGGCAGCCCAACTCCACCAGGTTCCCTTTCCAACTCCAACTGTTCACCTTCTCTAAGAAATCAGAAACTCAGCGAAAAAAAAAAAGAAGAAAAAACTCCCACGATTGTTTTGTCCGAAAGAGAGGGAAGAAAAATCAAGCTTTCTGGCCTATCTTCACACGATCGTCCACTCCACCCACTATGGCCATCATTCTTCTTCCTTTAAATAACTGGTTCATTATTCTTCAAGCTTGTGCCAATTTTTATGTTATCATCCGTAATAGTCACAACATTCAAGTTTGGAGATCACACACAACAAAGGTAAATCTCGCTTTTTCTTTATTGTTTAGAATCAATTTATTAGTTTGATGAATTTTAGGAGAAAATCAAAATATCCAAACCTATACCTATGTTAGAGCAACAATAGTGAACTTTTTTACTATGTTTTCTATGCTTGTAGAGTTGTTCAATTACCTCGAATCATCTCCTGCCACTCCAAACAGTACTACTTTGAATTCCGGGAATGGACTCAAGGCCTGGGGTAGCGCCTCTTGGCTAGCTAGTTGCTTGATAGCTTTCTTTGGTATTAGGGAGTTAGGACAGGCAAGTTTAGATTACCGAGCATAAGAAAATGAAGTCGAGAGATTCATTCTTATTTTTAGAAAGAAGTCACAAGCTGCTGTCCTTTTTAAGATCAATTTCTTTTCACTTTCTTTTCACTATTCTGGTGCTTAAAAGTATATACAATTCTGTATATCATATTTTTCAATGCTTTTTGCAAAAATATAGCTGTGGATTCAACTTTTCAGGTTTACACAGATAAAAGAAAGAACGACAAAGGTTTAGAAGATTATGGATTCCTATGATTTTGTGTGGTCGCTAATGGTTTGTTAGATTGAAATGCAAGGTAGATGAACCTAGCAGTAGCCATAACTTTTCAACTAAGAATTGATATAAATATTACTAGAATAGATGTGTGTCTGTAGATGTGTCAATGCATGCATCAGTGCGTGTGTGCTCGTCGAGAGTAGGAATAGAGATAGATTGAATTTTTGTACCTTTCTCACACAACTGATATTGAATTACTTGTTTATATGAATGATATTGTCATATTAGTCTTTGTGTGTATGAATTTTGGTGTGTGTAATTTGAGTTAGTAACTTCTGTGTTCGGGTGAAATTGAAATAATTGTGCATATGAGTTTATTGTCATATTGAGTTCACTACGTGTGTATGGAATTATGCGTGTGCAATTTCAGTTATGTTTGAATGTATTGTAGATTACTGCAAGATGGGAACGAAAAGGCCTAGAAGTATTAATTTAGAAAAAGCCGAAACAATCAATGTAAGTTCTCTTTGTTTAAATGATGCATCTATTATTCTTGTGTAGGCAATTCAGCAATATTTTTATTTATTTATAATTAAATATTATGCGTAGGTTGGTGTTATAGTTGAAGATGGAGCCTTAAGGTTGGAGAAAAAGATGATTAGTTTGGAAGAAAAGGTGGATGATATGGTTCGTCGCATGGCCTATATGGATTCGAAGATAGATAGGTTGTTTGATTTGATTAATTCTCTTATAGAGGGAAAACATTCAAAAGAGGATCCCGAATCTCGTGAAAAATCAGGTGCTGCCGCTAAAAAATTTCGTCATAATTTTGAATTTGATGCCTCTCTGAGTGGAATGGGTGGAATGGGTAGAAAAAAATCACCTGATGTGCACATAGTGTTAAGTGATTCATCTGAAGAAGTTTCTTCCAAACGTATGAGTTCAAAAAATGACACAAAGAGTCCCTTGAAGAGTAAGGTAATATATTATTTCACATGCATACAATGCCTTACAAACTACATCTATAAATTTTGTTAAAAGTGTCTCGCTATTCATATCCCATTTTATAATTTATTTTTTGTATTAGGGTGTTGAAGAGGATTTTAGTAAGGAAGAGAAGAATGTTTTGAAGTACATCTTCGATGTAAACCACAGTCCCGAGTAAGTGTTTATTTTTATGCACATTTATCATCAGAATGCATATAAAATTTATTGCTAATTTATTTTCTTTTTTGATGTTGCAAGTGAAAAGATCGTGGAGATGTCAGGAGAATTTGGAGAAAGAACACGGTTAACAGAACTACCGACTTCAAACTGGCTAAGTGCAGAAGTAAGTTTATTTATGTTAACCTTACAATGATCGAGTGTAATTGTTTATTATGATTTGTAGATTTTAAATCTATACGCTTGTATGCTGAGGTGGGATAATCGAATGATGCCTCTAAACTATCAGCGGAAAATTGGTTTATGCCAACCTATGTCTCGGTAGGTCATCAATATTCTACTTGCATTATTATTTGCATTATTATTTATTGAAAGATATAATTGATTAGATATTTTGTGATGTAGCAATACATTACCGAAAGGAAAAATGGTTGTGATGCTGGTTGCATATATCGTTATTTCTTGCGTGAAGATAAATATGGAAGGAATATTAAAAAATGTGAAAAGGTAACTTTCCATAATTTTGATGCATTGTTTACAAGTTAGCTAGTAAAATTGTTTGAGTAATGGTTTATTGGGATTTTGAATTTTTAAATGCATAGATCTTCATTCCAATCAATCCTGGAGGTCATTGGTACTTGTGTGTAGTTGACATAATCAGACAGGAGGTTCTGATATTGGACTCACTTAGGCCAAAAAATTGCAGAACGTATTTCAAGTGCCAAAGTTGTGGTAATTAGTTTGAAAATTATTTTTCTTTTTTTTTTTTCAAGTTCTATTGGCTGTGATTTTATTTATAAAATTTAATTGTCATCCAGCTCAAGTATTTCCATGAGGCTATAGAGATTGGATGTGGTACAACTTATAGTGTCAATATTTCTAAATTTCCTGCGAAAATCGCGCAATGGGCACCACAACAAAAGAATCTGTAAGTTTGAGTTTGAGTTATGTTGAATCAGATATTCTAACGACAACATTGAATTGTTGATCACATTGTTGTATTGCAGTTATGATTGTGGATTATTCACAATAAGATTCATGCAACTATATGACGAGCTACGGGCCGGGATGCATTTCAGCATTGAAAACTCACATTTGGAGAGAAGGAAAATAACTATTGAGATATTCTACCATAAGCAAATGAAGCCAAGGAAGAGATACTTAGAAAAATAGCGCATTCTTCTGTGTGAGTCCAGCCTCTGCTGCAGCTTCTTAATGTTCACCGGCAGCTCGGACTTCTGCTCCTCCTTGTAGGTCTTTAATGTTAATCTGTAGGAGTCACTCATTTGTTTACAAAATGGGTGGTAGCTTTTGACTTAATTTCTGGTCATTTATCTGTTTTTCAATGAATCATATGGATTATATTTGTGTTACAATAATTGAACTTACCTTTATATTTTTTTATGTTCCTGTAACCTATGCGTTGCTAGCTTTTGGTGCTCAGTTTATCTTGGAAAGGTTAAACTCATAATTGAGCAGTTAGCTAAATGTTAACCAGATGAGTTTTATACTTTTAAGCATCTTTGAGTTGTACAGTCTTATATGATATCTTGGACACATGGTTCTTATATGATATCACATATTTCTTATATGATATCACGTATTGTTCTTTCAATACAATTTTAAGAAAGTTGTACTCTAGGAAGAGCTGGTTTGGTCATCCTGCTCTGTTGTCTTAATTTCTTTATCAGTTACTATTATGGGTTATAAGCCGTTCCACTATTTAATCTCAAACTAATGTGCTTAGGTAAAACAGATAAAACTCTGATACCAAAAAGGGCATGCTTAGAAATATTTTATCTGAGAAAGATAATAATGCATGCTAAGGAAATTATGTTTATAAAAAGGACTGAACAATTGAATTATTATAACAGGACTGAACAATTGAATTATAGACATTCAGTTAGTAAAAAGTTTGCAGCATATCAAGTAAATTTAAACCTCTTCACATGTGAATTACAAATGGTGAATTACAAAGATAAAACAAATGCATGCTTCCACTTGAATATTCAGAACATGTTATGTTTCAAAACAGATTTAATTGCTTCAGGTTTGTATGATGTATCTATTTTGCTCAGGTTATATTCAGAACATGTTATGTTTCAAAACAGATTTAATTGCTTCAGGTTTGTATGATGTATCTATTTTGCTCAGGTTATACTGATTTCAAATGTGCCAGGTTTTAACACCGAGATTAGAATAAGGCCTCCTTTTCTCTTCAAAACTCATGCCACTAAAGCCGATTGAAGTATTTGAATTCTGTTCTAAAACTGAATGCCAAACCTGAGCAATGGAGCCAAAACTAATTATTTTGTCCAACGTGTGCTAACATTTGCTTACAACTGAATTATTTTAATCCTTAACTTGCTGTCTTAATTTCTTTTACAGATACCATAATCTCAAACTTTAGACTTGCTTTTAACAATCTACTATTGTATAGAACTAGCATCTCGAGTCTCAACAGCAAAACCAGCTCAAAAATCTCTTAACCTAAAAAAAAATAAAAAAATAAAGTGAACAGAAAAAGAGTGACAGAAAGAAAGAAAAAAGCCATAGAAAATCATAGAAACAAATTTGCATAAAACTCAAATACTCCATTAGATAGTCAAACAAATCATAGAAAAATGTTCTAACACACTAAGTAGCTTAATTTGCAAGTCCATTATGCATTAAGCTAAAAAGAAACAAAAAACTTTCACTCTTTGTCCGAATCGGTTTCTCTAGTAGTGCGTGATTCTCCGGCCAACGATTCTGTCAATGGTTTATTTTCCTACATGCCAAAACCAATAGAAAAATTATAACCGAGAACAAATGGAAGAATGAGTAGAACAAATTGGACATTTAACTAAATAATACACCATTTTCTCCAAAAAGACCCTCGGATTCTCATTCATCTATTATCCGCATTTGACAATCTTCAATCCTTTTCTGTAAAATTTCTAGAAGCTTCGAAACATATATTCTCATAATACGAAGTTGTTCTTCTCTCTTTTGAGCTTTTTTCTCAAGTTGCTCTTTTTTGGTGCAATTCTTTTTCTTTTCAGAAATCTCGTAACAAACATCTTGTTCATTGCAATAGCGTTGTATCCATAGGTCAGAGGTGACAGCCAGTAGCCCCAACCCCACCAGTCCGGACTTTGGTCTGCAATTGAACAAATAGTAAGAACGAGTTCCAAGGAAATAAACAAGAACCTAGGTTCAAAATTACCACCGTTGGTTCTTGTTGAAGTGCAAAGAAACCAATGGTGTTATCTTTCAAATGAAACCACGGAAGATTCCTTCAAGTGCCAAAGAAACTACAAAAGTTGGAGAAACCAAGGGCCCGCAGAATAAAAGACTGTTCCAATATTCCATGAAATGGCAAACAAGATTAAAAGCAAACCGAAAGGGGTGCAAGGAAATGAATGAATCTAAAACATTGGAAATCCATACCGATGATATTTCCATCAAGCCGAGAAGAGTTCCCAAAGACAGGGCCATAGCCTCATATATACCAATGCCAATAGCTAAAGTTAAAGCTGTGGAAACTGAGGATAGCTGCAGCTTTTCTACAACATCAATAAGAGATTCACTGACTAAGATGATATCACCAACACACTTCTACCCTCAAGAAATTGACAAGAGATACTGAACAAAGTGGTTTCACATGATATCAGACTGAAATCTGTCAGTATCATGATAAGTGCATAACACCAACCTGTTGCTGAGAACCTGCCTGCATTTTTTGATATGCTTCAGGCAAAAGGATGCTGCAACACTGAGGAGAGGAATGTTGAAAAGCTTCGAGATGATGTTAAAAAGTGATACAGAGACACCAGCTGAATCCAACTCCACAGAACCTATATCATGTGTACATCGCAAGAAAAAGGTTATGATACTCCAAGCTACTAACAAAGTTCATCGAGCTTCTCAGGTGATCAGGCGAAAGCCTCAGCAATCCGCGTCAAACAAACAGATGCATATTCCAAAACCTAAGAATCACACAAAAGAATATACAGGTATTAGTTTATCAGGTCACATATGAAAAAGGAGAACCTACAGATGAATCCAAGTAAAATGGCTGTCATACTACAATGCACAACAATGTAAATCTCATCTTGGCATCAGGATACTGTAAGAGATTTGTCAACAACGGTACAGCCTCTATAACGATATCATCAAGAATGAAGTTCAGCTCACAAAAGAGTGGACTTATCTATTTGAAGTCACCAGACAACACAAATTAATAGTGAGAATAGCCAAAAAATAAAAAATAAAAATCCATTTGACATTTTGACTTGAGTTTTCACAAGTGCAATGAGAACAAAATCAGAAACGACAAATCTAATCAAATCAGAAAGCAATGAAATCGTTATAATGTTAGAGAGGGTAATATCATGCTCTGGAAAATTTGGAAAATCACATTCTTAAAGCTCAGGTTCTTCCACTTTGATCGCGAGCTTATCCCATTCTCTCCATTCGGATGCTTGTTTGACTAGAAGTACCAAAATGAGCCTCCACAGTACTTGGATCAAACGAAAACAACAAATCTTGTTTCATAAAGGTTAGACGTATGGAAAGTTTAATGCTAAATTGTGTTTTAATTTTTTTTTTTTTTATAAAGTTGTTCCCCAAGCCTTGAAAATGATCCTCCATGATAACGAAATAAAAAAAAATCCTGAATTTACCCCTACACGCACAACCACGCCGCACAAAATTATACCAAAAAAAGAAAGAAAAAAGCACATCACGCGAATACAAATTTGTCAAAATACAGGAAACACTCACCCACTATCGCCGAGGATGATGACCTTGAGAAAGAACTCTTCTACGCGACGGCATCGTTTCGATCTCGACTGGAAACTCAGATGCTCAACTGTATATAGGAAAAGCAAATGAGACTTTCTGCGGCATGAACGAGCCAAAAATTGGACATGATTGAATACTGAAAAACGAGAAGTTGACATGAGTACACTCTAGGGACCATCTGAACGGGTAGGAAATGCAAAATCTAGTATATAACTCCATATACACCTCAGGTTCAAACCATAACATATGAAAAATAAGACTTAAATCTCGACCTTCATCAAGACCACTCCAAAAGCTTAAGAAAAATAAGATGAGGGTAAGGTCTTTTTCTTGTTCTGGATAGGAATTTAACAACACACAACAGCCCTTACACAGCAACCAAAGAAAACTTGTTACAAGTAGTGTTTGTTTACTCACAAATTGATAAAGCAAAGGTTGTCAGTAACAATGGAAATCCTCTTCAAGACGAGCGGTGTTGCCAAGTCGAACCCTTCAATTAGAGCTTCGAAATCCAAAAGCTCCGGATTCGCTTGCCCCTCTTTCCCCCTGCAAAATTTGCTCACCCCAACACCTCCCGCAACTCCCTCCGTCAAACCCTTGAGATAAACCCAAAAACTCGAGATTTTGTTGGTGTTATTATTACCTGACGAATGCGAAACCTCACAGTAGGGCGTGTTCACTTATCCCCAATTTTCCACTACTCGGCCTCCGGAAGATTCCCCATCTCGAGGGCCAGGGCGTGGTCATGGGCCTGATGGCGGATATCGTCCGGCATGAGCTCCGCCTCCGCCTGGTACTGGCAGAGTATGCATCATAACAGGGGTTTACAGTGGGAAAGGCGCCGCCGTCGGGGATGGAACCAGTGAGTGGTTGTTCGTCGGGGATCTTGGAGGTGGGTCCAGCGCCGTCGTCCTTCATCGGTCAGTGATTTATAGGCGCAGAGGCTCTACAAATTGCAGAAATCTTAGCTCTGAAAAGGAGTTAGGGAAAGAGAGGAACCCTAGCGCCATTAGTGGAAAAATCGAGATCTCTGTTGGGAGAGCCGTGAGTCGATTGCACTTTGTCTGAAACCGGAACCAACTTGCTGTAGCCGGTTGTAAACTCCTCAAGGGAAATGATCACATGCTGCGAGCCTCCTAAACCAAAGTGATTTGTCAAATTTTTATTGGCCCAGACATAGCGGAACCATTCCGCGAAAAAGCACAACGGGACTTAAGTCTTTTCCAAAATGATGATGTCTAGGTACAGTAAAACGATAGGTGAATCTTATTCTCATGCTTATTAATCAAATCACACTCCTCGATAACCAAAAATGGAAACTTGAACATATATATGAATATATTTCTCAGATAAATATATTAAGAAAAATGTAGAATAGATCACATACTTGAAATATCAAAACAATCCCCCTATATATAATTGCAGTCTGCTCTGAGTTTAAATGGAAGTCTCGCATGTTTCGGTGTCCTACTTGGAGAAAAAACATGATACGTAGTTTGGTTTGGATAAAAAATAATAATATTCTAAATCAATAAATTTAGGTTCGGACATCCAAAAAATATTGAAAAATAACTTGGTAATTTCATAATAGTTTTAATATGGGATATTATATAGCCGAGGAATAGACCGATTTGCATCATCGATTGAGCAACCTCGAAGTGGAGAAAGCCGGATTGGTAGAAGGATGATCGACCAAAAGGAAGGAGATCGAGCAGAATAGCAGAACTGGTCGAGGATCGACCAAAAGGGAGGAGATCGAGCATAATAGCAGAACTGGTCGAGGCTCGACCAAAAGGAAGGAGATCGAGCACTCAACAGGTGAAGAGCAGTCTAGAGCGTGGCTTGAACGCTGAGGGCGTGTGGATGGCGTTAGAAGATCCCAACGGCCTGCGCAGAAGAATAATCTCCCTCAGCTCAGAGGGACACGTGGCGAGAATATATTGGTGCAGAGTGATAGTGGCGAAAACCACCTCTGACAATCTCTGACACACGCACACTATGTGTGTACGGACGGGCAGGACAGCTCACCAAAAGCCGGGCAATTCCTAGGGCAAGTATCTCACTCCTATATATAGGGGAGTGGGTCTTTTCTTGTAACCTACGATTTATCCATTCTTTACTTTGGAAAATTGAGCAAAGACATACTGACTTAAGCATCGGAGGCTCTTCACTGGAAAACCCCTTCGGTGTGAAAGTTCTGTGCAGGAACGCGGCGTTCTATCGGCGAGGAAGAAGGAGGCAAGCTGATTTCAAGCCGGTCGGAGTGTTTTGCGTTACCATTTGGCGCCGTCTGTGGGGACTTTCGTTCGAAAAGTGGTGTGCTGAGATTTCCGAAGCTCGGTGGCTATGGCGGACGGAATTCCTAGGAGAGATTTGCAAGCATCGTTCGACGATGCGTGGACGATGACGAGGCCGTTTGGAGAAGGCCCTCCTCCGGGTTTCTCCGGACCCTTGCGTACACCGGTGACTCCGATGCCCGTTCCCCAAGGTGTAGGAGTCACGCCGGTGCAACCAGAGGCTGACGTGGGCTCAAGCCGGGCCCAGGAGATTCGTACAGCTCAAGGAGCGGCGACCCCAACGCCGCTGCAACCATATCTGGCCGTGACACTGCAGCAAGGAGCCGCGGTGCAGGGAGCAGTACCACCGCCAGTGGATGAGCCGCGCCCCGGCCAGCAAATGGTGATGACCAGGCAGGAGATGCAGCAAATGGTGGTGAACGCGGCGGCACAAGCGGTTCAACAGGTCACTCAAAGCCTTTCGCGAGTGGCTGCTGGACCAACGATGGTGGATGAGGACGTGTCTAGCTATGGAGGAGATGGAGCCCCGCGATATCGTGAGGTGGAGAGGCTCGCGGAGCAAGTGAGACAGATGCAGGCTAAGATGGATAGTCGACCTGAAAGGCGTGCTCGAGGACATCCGTTCTCGAGGGATATATTGGCTGCACCACTACCTGCGAATTTTAGAGACATGAGTTTGATGTTCGACGGGACCACTGACCCGTCGAGGCATGTAAGAGCATTTGAGAATTTGGCTGTATTACATGGTTATTCTAATTCTGTTAGCTGCAGGGCATTCTTGTCGACCTTGAGGGGAGGTGCGCTCGATTGGTTTCAACAGCTCCCTCATGGATCGATCAAGGACTTTGACGATTTCGCGGAAAAGCTGATGACCCAGTATGCGAGTGCGGTGGCGCAGGAGAAAACGTATTTGACGTTGATGGCCATGAGGCAAGGGGAGAAAGAATCGTTGCGCAAGTATGTTGCGCAATACAATCAAACTTGTTTGGAGATCCCCACGGCCTCGGACGAGGTGAAGGCTGGGGGTTGGATACGGAGTTTGCGAGCAGGGCCCTGTCGAACATCTTTAGCCAAAACCCCTACTCGTACGTATGATGATGTGCTGAAAAGGTGTAAGAAATATATTAATCTTGAAGAGACGGAGACGGAGTTCGCTAAGTTGGAGGAGTTGGCTAGGCCGGAGCCGAAGAAAGGAAGGACGAGCTCACCTCGAAAGGCGTCACCAGGTAGGAGATCGCCCATGAGAGAGGGGCGTGGCAGGGTTGATCGAGGGCGAGAGGACCAGTGGAAAGATCGACCAGTGTTTGGAGGGAAGCGGTTCCATAACTTTACGCCCCTTAATGCAAAGATGGGGGAGGTGCTGGTGGCTATTGAGAAGAAGATCGAGAATAAGGACGTGACGTGGCCGAAATCGAGGCGTGAGGGCCCAACGCAACCTAGGTTGGGGAAGTATTATCGTTTTCATAAAGATTATGGGCATACAACGGAGAAGTGCAGGCACCTCAAGGATGAGGTCGAGCGCCTTATTAGGGTAGGGTATCTTAAGGAGTTCGTGTATGAAGACAAGGCGAAGGAGAAGGGCAAAAGAAAGTGTCGGGAGGATTCGGTGGAGCGGAGTGATCGAGATGATGATGATGAGGAGGATGATCCTCGAGGAGGGAGAGATGATCGAGGAGGCAAAAGGAGACGAGGGAGTCGAGATCGAGGTCAGGAGGATCATGGCCCAGTGAACAGAGGGACGATCTATATGATTTCGGGGGGCCCGACTGATGGGGACTCGAACAATGCAAGGAAAGGCCATGTTCGAGCGGTGAAAAGAAAGAGAGAGGAGGTGGGGATCACTGCTCGAATGCCGGTGATAAGTTTCCGAACGGAGGATGCAGAGGGAGTAGTGCTGCCCTACAATGATGCATTAGTGATAACGGCGGAGGTGGCCGGTTTCGATGTGAAGAGGGTGTTCATCGATAACGGGAGCTCAGTGGACGTAATGTTTTATGATTGTTTTGTGCAGATAAATAAGGAGCTGAACCTCGACTTGAAGCCGGTGGCAACTTCCCTGTATGGATTCAATGGAGGCGAGGTGAAGACAATGGGAGAGGTGAGTCTATCTGTGGCGTTGGGGTAAGGAGCAACGAGGAAGGTGAGAATGGTGAGGTTTGTGGTCGTTGGAACAGAGTCATCATATAACATTATCATGGGAAGGACCAATTTGAATGCATTCCAGGCGGTCGTGTCGACGTACCACATGACGATCAAATATCCGGTGGGGAAAAGCGTTGGTGAGGTCGCAGGAGATCAGCTTACCTCGAGGAGTTGCTATCAAACCACGGTGAGCAACAATAAGTAGCTCTCGAGGAAGCAAGCGAAGCCTGAAGAGGGAGTGCTGAACCGACCTGGGGGCTCAAGGTCGAGTGACGAGAAGGAGAGAACAAATAAGGGGAAGAAGAAGGTGGAGATGCAGCCAGGAGGGGAGATCGAGGAGGTTCAGATGGTAGAAGGTTGCGAGGAGAGGAAGTTTCGGATAGGAAAAGAGATCGAGGAGCCCATAAGGTCGAAATTGATTGGATTGATCAGGGAGTTCGCGGATGTTTTCGCGTATACGACTGAGGAGTTGAAAGGGATAAAAGCGGAGGTGATCGAACATCGTTTGAATATTGACCTAACAGTGAGGTAGGTGAAGCAAAAGAGGAGACACCATGGCGCGGAAATGGACAAGGTGATCGAGCAGGAGGTTGAGAAGTTGTTGAAGGCGGGCCATGTTAAGGAGATCTTGTTCCCCGAATTATTGTCGAACACGGTGATGGTGTCTAAGTCTGGGGGGAAGTGGAGGATGTGTATTGATTTTCGAGACATAAACAAGGCGTGTCCAAAAGATTTGTATCCACTGCCCAGGATCGACCAGCTGGTCGATTCTATAGCAGGTTGTGAACTGCTCAGCCTTATGGATGCATCCCAGGGGTATCACCAAATCCCTTTGGCCCGGGAGGAGAGGAAGAGGGTGAGCTGTGTTACGAGCAGAGGCACTTATTGTTATGTGGTGATGCCTTTTGGTTTGAAGAACGCGGGTGCAACGTATCAGCGGTTGGTCGATAAAATCTTCAAGGAACAGCTCGAGAGGAATATGGAGGTGTATGTCGATGATATGCTAGTGAAGAGTAAGGTGGAGGCCGATCATGTGAATGACTTGAAGGAAACGTTCTTGACTTTGAGAAGATATGGCATGAAACTAAACCCTGCTAAGTGTTCTTTTGAGGTGAAGTCGGGAAAGTTCCTGGGGTATATGGTGACGAAGAGGGGGATCGAGGTCAACCCAGAGAAAGTGAGAGCGGTGATCGAGATGAAACCGCCCACAAAAGTGAAGGAGGTGCAGATCTTGACGGGAAGGATTGCGGGCTTGAGCCGTTTCATATCTAAGGTGGCGGAGAAGAGTGGTCCTTTGTTTCGAACGCTGAGAAAAAGTTCAAGGTTCCAGTGGACGGAGGAGGCCCAGAGAGCATTCGAGGAGTTACAAAAGGTGTTAGCCAATTTGCCTCTATTTTTTAAGCCGATTCCAGGGGAAGACTTGGTGCTATACATATCGATCGGAGAAATGGCGGTGATCTCGGTTTTGTTGAGGGAGGAAGGTACGGTACAATTTCCAATCTATTACGTAAGCAAAGTAATGCAAGGGGCGGAAAGGAGATATTCAGAGATCGAGAAGTGTGCTTTAGCAGTGGTGGTGACGGTGAGGAAGTTGCGGCCGTACTTTCTGAGCCACAAGGTGAAGGTGAG